TTTTTTAATATATATATATATATATATATATATATATATATATATATATATATATATATATATATATATATATATATATATATATATATATATATATATATATATATATATATATATATATATATATATATACACACACAAGAGTTGAAATAGGTACCAGACATTAATGCCTTTCAAACCATTCTTTAGATTTGCTAGAGGAGGGCAATCTACCATTACTACATAACTTATATATAATCTACCATAACTACAGCTTCTCCAAAGAAATCAGATTCCCCTTCTACTAGCTCAACGCAGCAGAAGATGACGGAATCCAACAGTGCTAGTGCATCCAATCTTCTGCACTAGCACTGTTGGACCAGCTTTGCTGCAGCCATTTGACATTGGTGACTTTAAAATCAAAATTTTTTCCTTTTACATTGACTATCTTATAGCCTGACTCGCAGCGGAGTGCTGCTATATCGACTGACAAATAGCCTGCCTCGCAAAGGAATGCTGCTACATCGACTGAGGGTTTGGTTTGGGCAGGCAGTCTATCATTTAAGAAAGAAAAAAATTATTTAAGTTTTTAAATTTTTCTGGTCTGGTTTATTAACGCTCTCTTTAAAAACTACAGTTTATGGGGAAAACTTTCTGACTACCATGCAAGAATATATATATATATATATATATATATATATATATATATATATATATATATATATATATATATATATATATATATATATATATATACATATATATATTTATATATATATATATATATATATATATATATATATATATATATATATATATATATATATATATATATATATATATATATATATATATATATATATATATATATATATATATATATATATATATATATATATACATACAAGCCTTGTTTTAAATAAAAAAGTGCTTAATGTATTAGCTTAACGCGATTTTGACGTCATAAAATTATCTTTATTTTTTTTATAGACGTTAAGTGTTTTAACTACCGCAATAAATAAATAACCGCTAAATTAGTTTAATTTAACAATTAACTTAACTATAAACGTTTTAAATGTAAATTTATTATGAAAAGTTTGAAATGTTTGAAATTGTTATTTTATTATTAATTTTAGTTCAATATTATTTAGTAAAAAAAAATATATATATATATTTATATTTCTGAAATTTGTTTTTGAATAATTATTGTTTATAAATTGTTATTGAATAAAAAATAATAATGATTTTTTTTATTTTTAAAAATTTCTGGAGTAAACAAAAAATATTAACATTGATAAACAAAAACCCATGTTAATTATTTAAACAGCGATTTTGTTTTGACTACCAAAGAATAATTTAGGTTTTTAAATATTTTTTAAATTTATCTTGCTTGGTGTTTCAACTTGCGTTATATAAAAATATAAAAAAGTTTTGTCAGCTTTGAGCATATTTTTGATACTTAGTTTAGAACGCATTCGCCAGGAATTTAATTCATAAATTTTTTATGTTATTGTAAAAATGTTTTACATTTTAAACAAATCACAAAGAAACAGAGTTATATAGAAAAATCGTTTTTAACAATTAAATAATTTTTTTTTTAAATTTTAGGAAATTAAAAAAAAAATTAAATTAAATATAAAAGTCTTAATTATGCAAACTCTTTTGTTAATTATTCTTAAAACAAAAAACAAATACTTCTACGCAAAACTTTAATCGTGCAAATTTAAAAATATACTCAAAAATATAATATAAATATATTTAATAATTTGAATCGTATCTGTTTATAATAAACGTTCGTAAAAATTTGTTTATTGAAAATTAAGTTGCTTAACTTATAAACAAACTCAAAAGTATTTTCATTCTACGTATAATTACAAAACTCTTTTTTTTTTCGTTTGTGTGCAAGTTAACTTAATAAAATAAAAAAAGAATAGATATGAGATAATTTTTGTTAAAAACAAATTTAATTTATTTATTGAACTGTATTTTTATTTTTATTTATATATCAACTTAATTAAAATATAGTAACCCGTTAAAATATTTTAACATAACTTGTGTTATTTATAAACCGTAGGGCAGCTGCCCTTACGGCACCATTGTTTTTGGAAAATATTTTATTTTGATGAAGACCACATAACAAACATTTGATTTTAATACCATAAGTCTTCTCTTTTTCTGTGATCATCGCATCGACAAAGTCCCAAGATTTAAAAGTTTTTAAAGTAAATCTTTTGTCCTTCAAAATACAATCGAACTTTAAACAATTTAGAGAGAATAGAAATAGACAAGGTTTTTATATACTAGTTTTTCTTGTTTTATAAAGAAAAATACATATTCATTAGTAAAAAATAAAATTAAAATGTCATTAAACTAAAACGTGCCTTAGCATTTATTTAACGGAATCTGTAATGTGCGCGTGCATAATGAAACCTCCGTTATATAAATATATTCAACCTAATATTAGTGTCATCAGCGGATGTTATAGTCTACTTGTGATTTCTTTACCTTATATTATAACTTGATTTATGAAAAAAACTTATTGAATCGCACGTAGAAGAAATTTAACAAATTGTCTTCATTCAAAAATTGCGAGTAACAGGTAATTTTTTTTTTTCTGTACCGGCTCCCTACTACTGCATAACTTAAAGGTAAAGGTATCTATATACCTTTAACTAATAAAAAGAGCAAAGAGTAATAATTAATGAAGTAATTTTTAGAAAAATACAAATAGATTGTTCATTCATTGGTACATTTTTTTTTAATATTTTAAAAAAATGTCTTGATATTTTTGTTATTGTGATAACAAAAATATTAAGACATTTTTTGAGATATTAAAAAAAAATGTCAATTATAAATTCAGTAAAAACTCTTAAAAAATCTATACTATAAAAAACATTTATATTATGTATTAACAAATATCGAATATAGATTTTTTTAAAGTTTTTTACTGAAAACTTTAAAAAATTACTACTTTTTATTAAAAACATTGCAAAAATTTGTAGTTAAGGATTGACGAACAATTTTTCATGTTGCTAAATATTTGGATAAAAAGTTTAGCCTAAAATTAATTGCTATAAAAAGGTAAGATATATCGCGATGAAAAGTTACAACAATTATTTTTAACGTAAATTCTTTTTTGTAATAAATATTTACATATCGTTTAAAAGTTAATGTGGTTTTTTTAAAAATTAATTACTTCTTTTATGTTACCGCTAATTTAAAAGATAAAAAATAAGTAAAAAAAAGTAGCTTAAACAAAACAGCTCTACGCGTACATAAAAATTGCTCAAGGCGTACGTAAATCGCTCTAGGCGTAACGCTTTAAAACAAGGCCTGATATATATATATATATATATATATATATATATATATATTAGTGTGCCTCTAAAAGCAACTTTTTTTAAAATTGTCTGCTGCCGGCCCCTAAATGTGTTCTTTGTAAAAAATCAACACTAAATTAAATTTTTTTTTGAATAAATAAATATTTTAGGGGTTGCTAAAGACCCTTAAACATCAAACAGGTCATTAATATTTTGAAAAAAAAAGTTCTTTAAAACTATATCATGTTGGGTTTAAAAAGAAGAGAAATTTTATAAATTTCAAAAATAATAAAAACAATTTATGGAAACACAAATTAAAAAAGTTTATTTAAAAAAACTGAAAAGATGTACTTTTTATTTTTTGTTAAAAAATGATAATTTTTAAACCATAAAATTTAAAACAGTAATCTTTATATAAAATTATTATTATTTTTGAAAGTTTTATAAAATTTTACTTCTTTTGAGACCCAACGTGATATACTTTTGAAGAACTTTTTTGTCAAAATATTAGGGACCTGTTTGATGTTTAAGGGTCAGTGACCCCTAAAGTATTCAAAAAAATTTTTAACTTAGTGTTAACTTATTACATGAACACATTTAGGAGATGATAGTAGACAATTTCAAAAAAAATCAAAGCTATTAATGAGGTTTTAGTTTAATAAATTATTACAAAAAAAATATTATGCTAGATATTTAATTTTTAGGCATTAAGTTTTGATATTTTATTGCATAGACTTTTATGCAATTCAAAGTAAAAGTCCTAGTTAAACAAAGTTTGTTGTCAAATGGACCCAAAAAAACTGTGAGTTAGCGATTGGTTCAGCTTAATCAGGGTATGCTTAAGGGATAATATTGTAAAGTTCACTAAGAAAAAAAAAAACGTCATGCTGAATTTAACTTTCAAGTAGAAGGAATAAATTATTGGCTCTCTTGCACTGAGATTTTTAATTTTAATTTATGTGTGATGTACTTTATAATGAATATAACTTTGTTGGTATTATCTAAGTATTATTTAAACAATAAGCAAACTCTACTGTTTAATTAAACATATTTTGACTTCAGCAAAATAATTTCAATAAAAATATTTTCTATAAAATCAACTTATAATTTTCTCCATCGCAAGTTTTGCAAGGGAGAAAATTATAAGTTGTTTCATGTACGTGTATATATTTTTTTATTCAAATAGTTTGAGGTCGGCAAAAAAAATTTATATATATACATATACATAAATATATATATATATATATATATATATATATATATATATATATATATATATATATATATATATATATATATATATATATATATATATATATATTATGTAAAGTAAATACTACAATAACATTTTTATACATATATAATTCAAAAATCTTAACAGACAATGTTGTTGAACAGATCAGCCCTTGGAATTAGGTTTGGCCAACCTTACTACTGGTCTAAAAGTGTTTAATGTGAGCAATTTTTTGTGGAACTCATTCCTTGGTTGTTATGGTGAAACTTTTGTGTTCAAAATTTTGTACCTTACTTTTTCTAATTCTGAGGGCAGAGAGGTTAACAATAGTACTACAAAAGATATGAAGAGAGAATTATATCTTAAGATCTTTTAAAATAAGGTTAAGTATTAAAAGTTTTAAATAAAATTATAATTTTATTCAAAAATTAAATAAATTTGTCATATTAAAAAGACTCATTAATTACCTGGACTTCATTAAATTACATTCACTGTGTCCTTTTACAATATTAAATTTATCTGTATTAGCAGATATGTCATGGCAACTTCTACAAACTCTTGACACCATTGAATTGTTTATTGGGTTATAAAACTTTTTTTTTTGCTTCATATTAGTAATATCAGAGCAATATATTGGCAGCTCTTCATCGTGATGATTTTGTTTTTTTTCTTCTAATAAATGATCGTTTGCAGTTGCTTCCTTTTTTACATCTTTAACAACTAAAATTTTATCTTCGCTACATAAATTGGAAAGATCTTTTTTATCTTTATATATACACGTCTTGGTGCCAATCCCTAATTTATCTTTCCAAACTAATATTGTCTTCTCACCATAAATAGTTTCCATAGTAACTCATTAAAGCATTTTTGCATTTTTGAAAAATGTTAAAATTTCCATTAGTATAAAATGTCTATAAATGTTACAAAAGAGATTAAAT